CCTGGGTTCAGGCAATTCTCCTGCCTCAGCCTCCTGAGTAGCTGGGATTACAGGCACGCGCCACCATGCCCAGCTAATTTTTTTGTATTTTTAGTAGAGACGGGGTTTCACCATGTTGACCAGGATGGTCTCGATGTCTTGACCTCGTGATCCACCCGCCTCGGCCTCCCAAAGTGCTGGGATTACAGGCGTGAGCCACCGCACCCAGCCCATTTTGTTTTTCAAGTAACTTTTTATTAGGAATACCTATTAGAGCATAAGAAACAGTCATCACCATAAAGAATGTTTAGGAGAGTTTAAAGTTTAAAGAAGCTTTATGCATCCAAATAAGGGCCCATTCTTTTTTTTTTTTTTGAGACAGAGTCTTCCCCTGTTTCCCAGGGTAGAGTGCAGTGGCGTGATCTCAGTTCACTGCAACCTCCATCTCCCAGGTTCAAGTGATTCTCCTGTCTCAGCCTCCTGAGTAGCTGGTACTACGGGTGCTCACCACCACACCTGGCTAATTTTTGCATTTTTAGTAGAGACAGGTTCTCACCATGTTGGCCAGGCTGGTCTTGAACTTCTGGCCTCAGGCGATCCACACACCCCCCTCACCTCGCTTGGCCACCCAAAGTTCTGGGATTACAGGCATGAGACACTATGCCCGGTCTTTAGACTGGGCACTGCCACTCAATTCACTGCAAGTGCCTGAAAGTGTTCACAAGTTGAACTGAAGTGTTAAGGTTATGATCAATTCTGCAATTGTATTTTTGCTTCATTGTTTCACACAAGGGCTATTAGTTTGAACACTTAACTGCACTAGAGTTGGAAAAATATAGAAACCGTAGTCTTCACAGTGAGAACATGTTCTGGCCTCCAAGAAAAGCTGGGTGTAAGTTGATATGCTTGTATGAACACAGACATGCGGAGGGGATTGATTCTAGAATCCCTCTTTACACTTATTCAGGTTCTAAAAAAGAGGACAGTGTCCTTTGGTCTTTTGATCAAATGGAATTTTCGTGAATATGGACATATGAGGCTTGAGGTTGAATTAACTGACATTAGAGAGTATAGCCATTTCAGTTTTAATGTCCCATTTCAACTTTAATGTGGGAGGAGAAACATATTCCACCCAGTTCTTAAGTATAACCTCCTCTGGCTTAGACTAAACAGAACAAGAATCCAACTTTCTTCTTTTACTCACTTCTGCAAAGGGAAGGAAGTGACATTGAAAATTCAGGGAAATTACAGAGGTTAAAAATCACATTTCTGTTATTGCCTTACATTGCTGGCACTGAATCATTTGGGCTATGGTCTGCTTTACATCAGGGACCATTCGGTAAGTGAGCTTAGCATATCTCAAGCAAGCTGGGTAGGGCAACGTTGTGGGCACAACTTGACATGGAAAAGACAATGGGGAATTATGGTCTAGTGCACAGCATGCTGTAACACAGCTTTTGCAGAGCTCGGTATTTGCAGGTTGCTAGGCACCTATGCCCCTGCATAATTCTTTCCTTAAATAGTATGTCTTTCCTTACATGCTGTTCTCCCTTTTGTACTCGTCCTTGAGAAGCGACGTAGAGAAGAGAGATTGGCAATGTAACGACTACATCCTTAAGCCCAGAGTTGTGATATTAAATGTCATCTTGGACCACCTCACTAGCTGCTTCTCTTTCTACTTAGAGAAATATGAAGTCACCTATGTAAGAAGCCATGAGTGATTTCCATTACTTTTGAGGAAAAGCTATTATGAAACCATTATTCTGGGAAAAAGGATAATATACCTTTATTAGAGGGTTGGAGGAGTCTGGCAAAGGCTACTCTTTCCCACATACTTCAGGCTTTAGAGCTCAAAGTTGTCTGGGAACCTGGTGAACAAGTCTGTAGAGTAAGCAGAGGCACTTCTGGGAAATGGCCAATGGGTTGAAGTGGTCTAACACAGCGGGGAGGACCCAAGGGAAGAATCCCCATAACAGGAAGGTAGATAGTCTTAACTAAAGACCTGGCACAAGCATTAGGTGTCCAATCTGACCCAGCCAAGCAGACCTGGGCAGTGTGGGCATGCCTCGGTACAGTGGCTGGTGGGTGGCATGCATTATCACACTCAAAGAGCCGTGTGACCGGAGGGCCTGTAGGGACATGACGCAGCACTTCCCAGACCCAAGACACTACGGCAGGACCAGAGAGAGCCACACTCACCTGGTCACCAGAGCACCTTCCCCAGTGGCTAAAACCCACCAGGTTTTGGTGGTAGCCCAGTCACTTGCACTGGGCGACTGTGAGGAGGCTGAAGACATCATGCTATGGTGACAGCCGCAGAGGGGACTCTCATAGGGCTTGGTATTTCTAGTTTTGAAGTGATATTAATCAGAACATATACCAAGAAAGCACTTTTGGAAGAAGATTTTTAAAAGGGAAAGTGTTTAATAAGCAACTGGGATGGGTCAATAGAATAAACCAACTTTAAAATTTGAATTTAGAAGAACTTTATTTTGTATCATGAGATGATAAAGTAGGACATTTGCGACGAAGTCTTGCTCTGTCACCCAGTCTGGAGTGCAGTGGTGTGATCTCAGCTTACCACAACCTCCACCTCCCAGGTTCAAGCCATTCTCCTGCCTCAGCCTCCCGAGTAGCTGGGACTACAGGCATGAACCACCACAGCCGGCTAATTTTTGTATTTTTAGTAGAGATGGGGTTTCATCATATTGGCCAGGCTGGTCTCAAACTCCTGACCTTGTGATCCGCCTGTCTTGACCTCCCAAAGTGCTAGGATTACAGGCGTAAGCCACTGCACCTGGTGGACATAGAATATTCTAAATAATGAACAATTTACATAGAAACTATTAGAGTTTTTAATATTTAAAAAATTCCTACTGACATAGAAACCTCTAGAATTTTCCTATTGCAGAGTCTTCAGGGCAGTGACTTGAACTGGAACTGATACAAAACACAATAAATGCAAGAATTTTACTTTAAATTTGACATCTAAATATACAATGTATTATGCTGGATCCTGGCAGGAAAGGGTAGTCAAAAAGTTAAAACTCAGAGCCAACACACCCATACTATTCATAGCTTTTACTACAATCCTCCCTCATCATATACTTACCCAAACTGACCCAGCAAATGTTTTACTGTTTTCATGTTTATCCTTCCTAAGCAAGATTAGATACTTCTACCAAAAATAACTCCCTTTCATATTTCCATGCTAGGTTTTGTTTGTTTGTTTGTTTGTGACAGTGTCTTGCTCTGCCTCCCAGGCTGTAGTGAAGTGGCACAATCTCAGCTCACTGCAATCTTCACCACCTGGGTTCAAGGGATTCTCCTGCCTCAGCCTCCTGAGCAGCTAGAACTATGGGTGCTCGCCACCAGGCCTGGCTAATTTTTGTATTTTTAGTAGAGACAGGGTTTCACCATTTTGGCCAGGTTGGTCTCAAAACTCCTGCCTCAGCCTCCCAAAGTGCTGGGATTATAGGCGAGAGCCACCATGCTTGGCCCACCATGCTAGTTTTTAAGTGAATGATACAAATGCATCTTGGCAGTTTGCTTCCTCGAACATACAACATCAGGTTGTGCTTTCTCATGCTCGTATGAAATAATCCTGAATTAAGCCAACATAGATGTGCAGCATACCTAGCGTGTGGACTTCAAGACACAATCACTCCTTCATTCACATCCCTCTGTGACTTCATCTATGATGCATATGCATATAAATCCTAATTGTTAAACACTTCCCACTTTCTATTCAAGTGCCATGACAGTAGTCAGCTTGAAAGTCTATGCAGATGTTAGAATAATTTTTAAAAAGCATGTTATTTAGAAGCATCTATGCTATAAATATCAAGCTATACATGAAGGGCCACTTACAATAGGAGAATTATTTTATGATATATACCATACCAGGGCACTTTAAAACAGGCAGGTAATCTTAAACTTCTCCTCTTCCAAAAACCAGTGCAAGAAATAGCACCTGATATTTGGTTTCTTCTTTAATAGCCTGGCTAAATCATATAAAATCCCAATGTGGTTTCCCTTTCCAGGCAAAGCCCCACATTTATATAATCCTCAAAACCATTGCTTGAGTGTTGCTGTGCCCTTTCTGCAACTCATGTTTCAAGGATACACTGTTTAAAGAGTTTGAAGGAAGAAGAATCCAGCTGCCTTGTAACATCAGCACAGAGCAAACTAGGGTGTACATAGTGACTGCATACAAACAGGTGGAACTTATTTTGTGTTGCATTTCTGCACAGAGAACAAAACCATGAAAACACTTCTTATAGTTATGCAGACTCAAAGCAAGATCAGTTTAACTCATCCAATCCTAATATGTTGTCTCTAGGTTCCAGGTGGCATGCCCTTTGTTTTGATGTTCAACCTACCTACAGAGCTGGTATTAACCTCCAATGAGAGACTTATCAGTGGGTCACATTTCCACCTCTGACGTGACCTATTCGAGTTGGGGAAGACATCCACAACCAACATGGCCATTAGGCTTCATCTCCAAGATGGTGGCCTTGCTAAGCCAGTGGCTATGAATACTTATGTTTGTTTTGATGTGAAACCACTTACTATTTACTGTTATCTGGTGTGCTCAAAATACTATCATTTAAAAAACGGTTCTTCATGATTTAGTTAATTTCTTTTAGACAAGACTTGGTTGCTTTCAAATTAGATAAAGGAAAAAGGAGTCATTTAAAAATAAAAAGTGACTTGGTATTTATTTGTCCAATTTCAGGTTTGCAGAGAACCAGCAACCTGACAAGCAGCCACTTCTCCTCTAGATACCAGTGTTAAGCAGGCTGAAGGTCAGAATCCTGGCAGTTTGTCTCCTACAACATACAACATCAGATTGTGCCAGGAGAGCGCTCCTACGAGTAAGAATATAAGCCTCATTTGCTTATTTCTTGGTTACTGGACAAATTAGATAGGTTAATGGATAAGAAACCCCTGGGTAATTTTAGGTTTTTGTATACAAGGGAGAAAGGTGAATCCGTCAAATTGGTATCTTGGTTTTTGCGATCATGTATTAATACCACATGAGTCTTAAAAATGTAGAATGCCAGAGCCAAAAGAAGGCCTCTCAATAGCTAGCCTACCTGTTTGAAATTGTGCTTATAATTATTAAAAAACAAAACAAAACAAAATAAAACTCTAAGAAGCTGCTGCAGATTGAGTACAAGATGAACAAAACTGGCAGAAATGCACAAGTATTCCTGTGTTAAAGTTCACATCTGTCATTATTCTCTCATCTATTGGGAAATGGTATTGGACCAAATACGTTTTGTGGGAATAAATAAATGCACTTTTAAACTTAGGGATGTAAAAATTCCAAATGACAGCATTCTAGCTCATGCTAAATTAAACAGATTTGAGATTTTCGTTGTTGCACAATTGGAGCAATTACACTGAACAGCAAAGTGTTCTAATGTATTGAAATATCTGTTTACAGTTCACTAACTGCAGAAATAGAGCACAGAAAGTTTCAATTATAAATACAATAAAACACCTACCACTTCATATCAGAATTTTGCTTATACAGTCTGTCTCACTTACAGACTTTATAAGCAAAATTCTGATATGACACTTAGGTGAGTGTCAGCTGAGACCTCTTGCCCTGAGACAGGCTTTGTTTCATGAATTCTTTATATAAATCCAAGTTTACATACCTAAAATTATACCTGTTAGTATCATGTAAGTAATCACCATTGATTGTCTACACTTTCACAAACATGGCTAGATATCTCATCTTTGGGATCAGGAAGCACATTTAGTAAGTTTGGAAGCATAATTCAGAGAACCTTGTATCTAGTAAAGATTTCAGAAAAGAACCACCCTTTGGTGACCGCAAACATTAAACATTGTTCCTAATCCAGAGAAGACTTCAGGAATTCAATTTCTATACCACTTTTGACAAGTCATTTAAGTGACCACTACAGATAAAAGTGAAGGATGGTGTTTCAGAGAACTAAGACTTCTTAGAAATTAATATATATTAAATAGCACACACGTCTTCTCTCTTGGTTGTAATAATCTAAGAACACAAGGACAGATCTCAAGTTTCACCTTAATCTGCACAGATTTCAGAAAGTTTATTCTAGGACTTATAGAGGGACTTTGAAGATTTTCTAATATGCATATTCCACTGGACTGTTTTTAGTCATCTCTTTTAGTCAACTCTAATTATTACAGGGCTGGGGAAGGAGAAAAAATATACTTTGTATGAGTTGCATAAAAACAAGATATCCTAGAAAAGCTACCTGGTTATGTTATTAGGCAACAGTTTCAAAGGCTCAAGTCTTGACTACTCCATTTACATTTTTAAAGATAAGCTCTTGAGATGGCATTAACCATTTTGGTACTAGCGAATTTTGAGGATCATAGAAAAATCTAGTTTTCTTCCCCAAGGGCAACATACTATTCTTCTTACTTTTAATCTATACATAATTCTATAAGATTGAAGTAACTAGTATCTTAACTTTATGTTAATATCAAGTAATAGCCCATGCAAGGAGTTGTTTCTTATAAACCTTATACTACTGGCCTGATAAACAACTTCATTGGGATATTTTAAAAGACAAACCATTAATTAAACAAATCATCAAATCATAGGGCACCAAATAAACTGCTACTTCCCTAAGGGCTTAACTTATTTGACATGAAAAGTTTATGTACTAAGACAATTTAGTTTTTCTGGTTTTCTAGACTATAAAGACTCATTTATTAGATGTGTGTGTGTATCTTTTAATATGTGTTATTCAAAATCATCTCCAGCTGTAGAGAGCTTTACAGTGCATTAGTACTGGCCAACTCTCTACTCCTTCCATGTTAAATGAATTTGGTTTATGATAATGGTGAGATTACTGTATTGTCTAATTGTCCTGCTTAAAAAACAAAAAACCCCTATGAATTATATTGTTTTCTAGTTTGCAGAGTATTGGTTAGAAATTGTATTGAATACTTTTCCTTTTCACTAAAATTTATTATTTACAAATCTGCCTAGCCCTCAGTGTCACATATATCACATTAATGGTCCAGGTTTGACTTTAGGACAATTAAAAATCTGACTTACCACTGGGAGACTTCCCTAGAGTAAGCAGATGGGATGGGGATTCTTCTTTCTCCAGGCCTGTTGAATGCACCCAGTCTTTAAAATAACTAATCATGCGGGAACACTCTGGTTTACAGTTAAAGCATGAGGTAAACTAACAGGAATGGTTCTTTATCAATTGACACTTAGCTGAGTGTCAGCTGAGGCCTCTTGCCCTTCATGAAATATTCATATTTACATTGGATTAAAAACAGATTTCTGGTTAGTCTACCTGGGAATGTCAACATCAATGAGCCATAATAAAGGAAGCTTCCTTGGTTCATAAAAAATGTAATACTTAAGCAAGATGTTTCATTAGCTTTTATTTTCTGTCAGAGTAGTCTCCTCCGCTCTCTGAACCACGAATGACCTATTGCAAAACTCTGTACCTACTAGCAATTGCCATTTTAATACTTAAGGGAAATGTGGGATGGATACAAGTGATTAGATAGGGGCTCCATTTGTAGCCTCACTGTATGATTCTTATTATGGTCATTAAATAAAAGTAACTTGATTTGGTCCTAGAAGTTTTCGAGGATTCACTCCATGGTAGCATCTGCTGTTTTCTAGTCGTCTTGTGTAGGCATTTTTAGCATCAGAGAATGCAATTAGATCACTTGTTTCCTTAGCTGAACTCTATAGCCCTATGCAAAGACAAGCCTTCTTTGAAAGCCACTATTAAGTTCCTAATCCAATCTTTATTAAAAAGACTCAATATTGCAGACAAGGAAGTTAAGACAAATCCTCCAAAAGTAGTGACCAAGCCCTTCTACACCCAGCAGAAGCCTTTCAGTAAAGCAAAATGTGAAATTAGAAAAATATTTATAGTTGCAATGTTTTTTAACTACCAACATATTCCTTAATTAACATACTATAGAAACATATAAACAATTAGTTCCACCAAGGAAAACAGTGAGAGAAACAACACTACCAAGTTTGCACAGTCCCTCTAAAATAAGCAAAGTTCTACTTTAGAGTTATTATCAAGTTCCCTTCTCCAAGTCTATCATTTGTTCTCCAGGACTGAGGTGGATTCCTACCCTAAATCTATTTTATATTTGCACCTGGGTCCCAAACATTCCCCTTAAGGGGGAAAAAAAAAAAACAAATGTTTTTTGACCCTTAAGAGTGTGTCATTTATCTAACATTGTGCATGGCCAGAGAGACAATGCAAATGGTAGGCAGCTAGCTACCCTAGATTTTGCTGTGAAGCCATGACTATGACAAAACTTGAAAAACCTTCAGACACTGACAGCCTTTGTCGTTGTTGTTCAGAGCACACGAGGGTCTGGTGACTGATCCCATCTCAGAGTCATTACAATTTAGACACTAGAAACCAAGTTTGGAATTCCAGTGATCCGTACCAGCAAGTTAATTCATGTGATCAAAACTACATCCCTACTAAGTGCCAGGCATTCTTCTAGAACTTGGGATATACCAATGAGAAAAATAAAGATGTGTTCCCTGATAGGGTTTACTATCTAACAGGGAGCAAGACGTAAGTGGAGTATAGACTTTCAGAAGATGAGAAATACTCAGGGGAGAAAGGAAAGCAGAGGAAAGTAGATTTGGGAATCCAAGGCTGAGAATGTCCTGGACATTTTCCTTAGAAACATAGAATATTAGATTTTTAAAAGTTAAATTTGCTGAATGTTTATTATATACCAGGTGTGATGCTAAGGCATTCTCATTTAATCCGGGACGGTATCATCCCTATTAGACAGGAGGGGAGGCTGAAACACAGGCGTGAAGCAGCAATCTGCAAGTCACACTAGCCTAATATATATGCTTTAATCTCTTTGCTTTACAACAAAAGAGATAATTAAGTTAGTTCTTCAAAGACTGGGGCAATGTGCATAGCCAGAAAGTACTTTCAGAAAGAGGAATTAATAAAGATATTCATGTCTGCTTGGCTAGAATACAGGGCCTATGCTGGGTTATACCAGGGGAAAAGGTTAAAAGCTGGGTCAAGCTAGATTAGGGAGGCCAATAGCACTCTGTTTTGTCTAGATGGGACCAAGAGGACTTTCAGGTGGATGTTGGGGTGGTGACAAATCCCAGTACAGGGACATGGCATCAAAGAGTCAAAGAGCTCTGCAGTATGACAGTTGCATGGACTTGCCCTTTGGAGTGATTCAACATTGCCAGTTTCTTTCAAATATTTGGCTAATCTTCTGGAAACAAAGCCTTTTAATTGAAAGGTTAAGGACTAACAATCTCAAACATTAGATTCAAGGTTATCCCATCTTGCCAAGCTCTGATGCTCAATGACCCTCAAACTTCAAATAAATAAAATGTCCTAAAGGTGGCTTTTTAAAAAGTCAAAGGCCATTATATCTTACACTCTACATTCATCCTTTTTATAGAAATGTATATGAAGTGAAATGACATTTTGAAATGTGAGTTCCTTAAAAACAACAAAAAAAGAACATCTTTTGTAAACAGCAGCTATTAAGATAGGCATGTAATTATAGCCTCTTGTTTGAAGCAGAATATATTAATGTAATATGTTCTCAATTTATATGTTTTTCCCTAAAACTGTTGAAAGTCTGGAAAGACCAGTGCCAAGAAAATGCTGGTTAACAAGGGTGGTAGAAGGGAAAAAGACAGATTTCTGCTCTTATATGTTTAGAATAAGCAATATTGGGTGACACACTTTTCTCTATTTTAAAACTAAATTCCTTAGAGATGCTGTAATTTGGCAGATAGCAAAGTTTAAAATGTAGGTATAAGTCTATAGTCTAACTTGGGCTAACGATAGTCATGAAGATGCTGTAGGGTTCAGCC